CAAGTAGGCAGAGAGGCAGGCAGAGAGAGAGGAGGAAGCAGGCTCCCTGCTGAGCAGAGAGCCGGATGCGGGGCTCGATCCCAGGACCCTGAGATCATGTCCCAAGCCGAAGGCAGAGGGTTAACCCGCTGAGCCATTCAGATGCCCCTGCATGTGAAGTTTTAAATGATGTATCTGGGGTACCTGGGTGACTTGGTGGGTAAAGCATCTGACTCTTAATTTTCGGCTCAGCACATGATCTCAGGGTTGTGAGATCCAGTTCTGCATTGGGCTCTGCACTGGGTGTGGAATCTGCCTTAGATTCGCTCTTCTTCTCCCTCTGCCCCTTCCCACTCGTGCTGTCTAAAACAAGAAAATAACAAAAAATAAGTAAATGATGCATCTTTGATTCAGAGAAATATGGTATTAGGAGTTTGAGGGGGATGTGGAGTCAGAGCCTCCGATCCCAGGTCTGAAAGTCTACTTCTGCCTGGCAGCTTCAGAGGGGGCTAGTGCAGGAGTGAGTCACGTGACAGGACTCCCTCCTCTGAGACCCCGCCCCGGGAAGCTGTAGGTGGGGTTTGGAGCCCCAAACGTGGCTTCAGGGCCCCTTCCTCGCGTTCCATCCGTTTGCACGACACCCAATGTCCCTTTGCCCTCTGTTCCCCCCTCCAGCACGATGAGTGGTCTTTCTAGGTGGAGATCAATTATCGCCCCTTTATTTATCTGAGAGAAATTACAGACCCATGCCCGCCCTCCCTCCCCCCAGGTAGAGAGGCTTAGAGGCTCTTGGATTGCTGAGGGTGCAGGTATGGGAGGCAGTGGCTGAGCAGGAAAGAAGCCAGAAAAGGGGCAGGTCGGTAAAGGCTTGAGCCAGTCAGTGAATAATGGGGACGAATCTCTTCTCATCTGTTCGCTTCAGGCCTCTAAACTTGGCCTGTTTGGGAGTATTTTGTGTGTGGTCCCTAGGAGATGTGTTTGAGGAGCCCTTGCAATCTTCAGACAGACCATGTCTGAGCCTCTTCCTGGGGCAGCTGTGTTTGAGTCTCTCCTTAGCGGGACTGTGATGGGTTCTCGCAGAGGGACTGAGATGGGTTTTCCCACACCAACTGTACTGGCCCCTTTCTAAGTGGCTCTGTTGGCTCTGCTCAGAATGACTGTGTCTGTTCCCCTCACACAGACTGCGTCCACTTCTTTCAGAGGGACTACAGTGAGTTCTCTCTGAGGAACTGCGACCACTCCTCTCAGAGGTCCTGTGCTGTCCTCTCTCAGAAGGGCTGTGTCCTCTCACCTCTAAGGGACTGTGCTGAGTTTTCTGAAAGAGACTGCGACATCCCCTCTCACAAGGACTGCGACCTCTCCTCTCACAGGGACTCTGATGGCTCCTTTCAGCGGAACTGTGATATCTCCTTCGAGGACGACTTCGATGGCGCCTCTCAGAGGGACTGCGATGGCTTCTTTCAGAGGAATCATTAATGGGGTTCTCTCCCTTACGAAGCTATGGTGGTTTCGCTTCTTGGGTGTGAGTTTCTCTTTAAGGTGACTGTGTGAGGTTCTCTTAAGTGAACCATGTAGATTTCTCCCTCTGGCTTGAACTCTGGTTCCTATTTTGGAGCTCTTGGACTCCTGGCTAAAGATTTAACATCTGTGGGAGTTTTTCTTACCTTTGCTGCTATTGTCATTTTGAACAATGACCACAGCCTGTCCGACTGAAGTGGTTTTGGAAATAGCACTTCTTTGGGTAACTATGGGCTTGGCTCGTTGGGTATGTCTACGTTGGAAAGAGCTACCTCTTTTTGGTTGATGAACTGATATGAATTGCTGTATTTCTTCCCATATCATCTTCTCCTGCTTAGTGGTTATGTTTGCTGGCTTTGGCTTAACAGCTAACATCCTATCTCTTTTGATATCTCTTGATGAGGAATAATCTCTGGCTTTTTGTTATGGATGGTGGTTTTTGCTTGAACACAAATGGTCTGGCCTTGACCTGTCCTCAGGCTTCTGTCCAGCAAAAGCCATAATTCTGCGTGCTGACTGGAATGCTTGCTTTAGACCTTGAAAAAGCCATTGAATGAATTTGGGTTGGGAGGATTTCTTAGATTGTCTTTTTGAAGAGGCAGTAGTTGTCTGAGATGCTCCATTCCTCTTCCTTCTTAACTGTTCCCATAAATCCCGAGAAGAACTCCGTATTGTGGTTCTACCATTTGTGTAGAACTTTGTGTTTTGTGTTCTGCCTCCCGTAGTGATTCTTTTCTTTGGGTATTTTGAACCACGGGTCTTTTTGATTCTCCTTTTAGCCCATTTTTCATGCTGATTGCTTTCAGAGTCACTCTCTGGTAGAGAGTGAACTTGAGTAAACTCATAGTGCCCTAGCCCTCCAATTGTCGTCTTTCCTGCTAGGGCAGGGCTCCTATACTGTCTTTGCCTGATGTGGACTTGTACAGGATCAGGAGACTGGGAAGATACAGACTGGCAATCCATTGTAGAAGTAGGACTCTTGGAAGCTCGAGTATAGACTTTAGCTTTCCTTAGTGATGGTGATATAGAACTCCTTGGTGTGATGGATCTCTCTCTTCTGTGGTACTTTGGGAGTTGGGATCTTTCCCTAGTTCGCAACCTAAAGCCAAAACTCACCTTAATCTCTCTGTGGTTTTCGGGAGTGCTTACAAGGTGGAGCTGTAGGCAGATAAGAAGGTAAGGCCCCAAAGTGCCCTGTAATTTATGACAGCAATTAAATCCTACACATAGGCCACACTTTAGGCAGAAAAAGAGTATTTTATGAGAGAGAGCCGAATCCTAACCACTAGACCACCAGGGAGGTTAGATAGAGTATCTTAAAACCAGACCTGAAGTTAGAGGTGGAGGTACTTTGGGGGGTGTTTGACTTCAGTGTTGGGACTCAAAAATCCTTGTCTGTGAACTCTGTGAGTTCTCTCTTCCCTGGAACAGAATCTTTCCTAGTGAAAACTATATTGAAGGAAGACTCTAAATTTACTGGGACAGGAGGCTGGCCCTCTGTACATGAAACAGGTATGTGCTGAATGTCTTCCTGGGATATAGCACTAAGCTTCAAACTTTTCTTTATTTTCACGCTAGCCCCAGAGTGTTGCTGTATTATGGAGGACATGGAGCTACGTGTCCACATCCTTAAGGCTATTCTTTGTTCGTGACCATGATAGGAAGTGTGTCTCTGAATGTAGTTTTTGGACACTGAAGTCTGAGAAATAAGAGTTTGACTCTTCTCTAGCAGACTCTTGGAAAGTTCCATCAGTTCCACAGGAACCCCAAATAAATTCTGAATAGATTGACAGATATCTGCAGTGGCTCTTTCCGTTAAAGATATTTGAGAACAAAGGTTCCTTTCCATAGTGGTTCCCAAGACAATCCCTAACACTAGCATCTTGGAGAGATATTTTCTGGGTAGTCGCTGTCTCCAGGAGTGATTCTCCCAGACATTCTGTTGTCTGCTCAAGACAGACCAGTTAAGGCCTCTTTGAGTTCCTGATCCTGACTGGAAGGTCCTAGATGGTGATCTCCAGCTTTGCAGTGGATGTTGGGATAGGCGCTGGAGTGAATTCTCTAGCTTCTCCACCTGCTTCTTATCAGTCCTCTTAGATAAGACACCCACTCCTGGGATCTCAAAATGTGGGATTTCTACAATGTTAGCTATCTCATCGGAGGGTTGATTGTGAAGGGACAAGGGAAGGGTTGAAATTTGTATCATAGTAGGGTCTATAAAGTATTCGTCAGACTGCAAAATATCTGTCCCGAAGTTTTTTATATCCAAGGCCCTTGACACTTCTGGCATCTCCAGATCACAAAGGCTTCCTAATTCAGATGCTTCGACAGAGCCTGAGATGAGCGAGTTTGAAGAGTTCTGTAGAAATCTAGAGAAATAATTCCCTATTTGTAACTCCTCTCTTGACATAAAATCCTCAGATTCCCTATTCTGATATACCTGTACTAGATTCAAATCCTCACATTCCATGATTTGAGGAGGCCCTATATTTATCCCCATTCCTTTCACAGCCTGAAGCCCTTGTTCATGAGTGAACACTGTAGATTCCTCCAAAGGAAATGCTGGCTGTGAGAGTGATTCTGAAGATTTCTCTTCGGTATTTGGCCTCAGAGTTAGTTCTACAGGTTCTACCATTTCTTGAAGATGTGGCCTTGGGAAGAAATCCAAACAATCCATTACTTCAATAGCTGATCCTAAGGAGACTCCTATTGGTTCTACAATGTGAGGAATTGGTAGTGGTGCTAATTCCTCAGATTTGACAATTTGAAGTGGTGGCCCTGGGATTAACACAGTCTTTACAATTTGAAAGCCTGTCAACTTCATTATATCCAAAATCTGGTGTGTTGGCTCTGTGGTT